AGTCACAGGACCCGCCCCCTCACTGTGAAGCCCGTCGGCAGTGCGGGGCCCGTGCACTGCCATATATTGCATGACCGGACCGCACTGAGACTGTGCGGCCCGGTACCATTTGATCCGCGGACCGCTACCGGTCCGCGGACCACTACCGGTCCGCGGACCAGGGGTTGGGGAACACTGGTCTAGAGTGAAGGAGTGAAGGAAAAACATCGTTCACACAGCAGAGCTGAAACGAGACATCCATCCTCCTTGGACACCAGAAAAAAGCTGAGCCACGCTGGAAGTAGGAGGAGTTATCCTCGGCTGGATCCAGAAGTATAACCCCAAAGGAAAAGACTTCCCGAGTCCCTCAATGGACAAGAAAGATGAACACGACCATGCCTGCTGCACGAGGAACATGACTGATGCGCCTGGGCACCTCCACAGCACATACACGTAAAGCCCCGTTCACATTGAGCGATTTATCGCACGGTAATTCCCGCGCGATATCGCGCTCCAATGCATTTCAATGGGGCAAAGGGTCCTGCTGTCGCGGGTCGTGTGTCGCTACAGCAGGAGCCTTTTTGGAGCGGATTTAGCCGCGATTCTCGCTTTCTCAATGCAAGCTTGAACGCGACGTCGCGCGGCAAATCTTGCGATATCGCGAAATATGCCAATCGCGCGATTTGCATATCGCGCAGTGGGAACGGGGCCTTAGATATATTGTACATAGTACACGGAAGGGTGACCATCGGTACCTACATGCCAACCCCCACCAATGATGCGCTCACCTCCGGTCCCTCTGCCTGCGGCGCTGCAGCCTCCTGCCTATCTCCGACAATAAATGCCTACATACTGGTCCTTAGACCTGCCCAGAGGGACTCGGGAACAGACCAAGGCCCGGACCTGAGCATCTGCCGTGATTCTGCGGTAGGCCAGTGACATGTACAATTAGAAAGACGGTCTCACCATCCATGACGGCATTCTGGACGTGAAGAAGCTGCTGGTACGCGTGTCTGCTGGTCTGCAGATACGAAGACACAAATGTCTGCAAAATTGTAAGAGACTCGTTAGGCAAATACCGAGAGAGGTGAGGGGGGGGGGGGGGGGGGGCGCTC